CAACATCAACAGCAGCAACAACAACAACAGCAGCAACAACAACAACAACAACAGCAACAACAGCAGCAGGAGCAGCAACAGCAGCAAGAACAACTTTCTTCTTCTTCTGCCTCCTCTTTCCCATCCCCTTCCTGTTTTCTTTCCTTCTTCCTCTTCCTTTTTCTTTTCTTCTTTATCCATCGAGACCAATGTGCTGCCCACATATTCTTGAAAGTGTAGCCTTCCACTGGAGCATGGTAGACTTACCTGGAGCTATACTCTTAGAGAAAATTGTTCTTCCATCTTCAAACATTAACAGTGGCCAATAGCTCTTCAGCTAGAGGTGATTTTTGTGTCCACATCCCATTTCCAGCCTGGGATTTGGTCTTGTACAGGTTATGTGCATGCTGCTACAACCACTGAGTTCAAACATGCAGCTCCCCAGCTGTGTCCAAAAGACCCTCTCCTTGTTGTCATCCACAGCATCTGGCTCTTCCACTCTCTCCACCTCTTCCACAGTGGATGCTGGGACTTAGGAGGGGGTGCATTACGTTTGTTTTATTTAGAAATGGATATTCTGCAATCCTTTATTCTTTGCACCTCAACCAGTTTTCTCTCTTTTTCCTTCCCTCCCCCATCTCTGTGTGTATGTTTCAGATTCTAATGTGATAGGTTTCTACATGACTCCTTCCTTCCTACCTCTCCCCCGTCTCTCTCTCTCTCTCTCTCTCTCTCTCTCTCTCTCTCTCTCTCTCTCTCTCTCTCTCTCCTAAACTTTTATTCTTCTGCCATACATTATATCCTGTTCACAGTTTCCCTTGCTCCCATTCCTCCCAGTCCCTCCCCACACCTACCCTTTCCCCAGATCTATTCCTGTTTTCCTTCGGGGAAACAACCAAAAACCAAAAACCAAAACCAAAATGGCAGCACTTCCAGAGATACCCTCTGAACATGGCCTAACAAGATACAAGACTGGACACAAACCTGGTGTGGGAGAATTGTCTGTATTCTGTCAATCATAGTTTAATAAAACGCTGACTGGCCAGGCAGACAGTTTAGGCGGGAAAGCCAGACAGGAAGTAGGGGTGGAGCAAAGAGGCTGGGAGTATTCTGGGAAGCAGAAAACTCCCTAGCCATTCCTGTGCAGACCACCGAAGAGGCAGCATGTAACTTGCCCAGCTGAGAAAGGTACTGAGCCCTGTGGCTAACACAGATAAGGATAATGGGGTAACAAAAGTTATAAGAGCTAATAAGTAGCCTGACCTAATGGGCCAATCAGCTTTATAACTTATAGAGATCTCTGTGTGATTGATTTTCTCTGGGACTTGCCGGTTGTGGGGTACTGGGCGGGAACAGATACCCCAACAACCCGGCCCTCATGTTACACAAACCCTCATATCAAGGCTGGCTAAGGCAACCCAGAAGGAGAAAAAGGGTCCCAAGTGCAGGTGAAAGGGGGAGACATCCCCTCACTTCCACTTTTGGGAGTCTCTCAAGAACACCAAGCTACACAATCATGAGGAATATGCAGAGGGCCTAGCTCAGATACACACAGGGTCTGGGTTTGTGGCTTCAGTCTCTGTGAGCCCCTATGAACCCAGGTTAGTTGATTCTTTGGGACATGTTCTCAACCCCTCTGACTTTTATAATCTTTCCTCACCCTCTTTTGTGGGGTTCCCATGGCTCCATCTAGTATTTGACTGTTGGTCTCTGCATCTGCTCCCATCAGTTACTGGATGACAGCCTTGCTGACAGATGATCTATGAGTATAGCAGAATATCATTAGGAACAATTTCACCGACTGTTCTTTATTTTAACCAGTTGTGTTTGCTTCTATCCTGGGTCTCTGAACTGTCCTACCTCTGGTTCCTGGCCATTCAGGCAGCATCAGGTGTGGGCCTCAAGTTGGTCCTGTCATTGGTTGGCCACTCCCACAAGTTCTGCACCACCATTACACTAGCTCATCTTGCAGGTTGCACAAATTGTAGGACGAAGGTTTTGTGGCTGGGTTGTTTTCTCAGTCCTTTGCTAGGAGCCTTGCTTGGTTATACAGAAGATGACCAGGTCCATATCTCCCACTACTAGGAGCCTTCACTAGGGTTACTCTTTTAGAGTCCATTGCCTCCACATGACCCCCCAGTTCCAGTCATCTCTCCTAGTACTCACTCACCCCACTGTTCACACCCCCACCCGATCTCTCCTGTTCCCATCCCCAACTTCCGAGTCTACCCACAAAATCTATTCTATTTCCCCTTCCCAGGGAGATTCATATGTACCCCCTTAAGCCTTCCTTGTTATTTAGCCTCTCTGGGTCTGTTGGTTATAGCATGAGCATCCTTTACTTCTTGCTAATGTCTACTTATAAGTGAGTACACACCACGTTTGTCTTTCTGTGCCTGCGTTACCTCATTCAGGGTGATTTTTTTTTCTAGTTTCCTCCATCTGCTACAAATTTCATAATGTCATTTAACAGGTGAGTAATGCTCCATTGTGTAAATATACCAAATTTTCTTTATCCATTCTTGGGTTGAGGGACATCTAGGTTATTTCCAGGTTCTGGCTATTATAAATAAGGCTGCTATGAACATAGTTGAGCAAGTGTCATACAGTGGTAAGTTTCCATATGACTTTTTCAAAAATTCTTCTTTTTTTAGATAATCACAAGGATGTCAGTTCATACATAGTTGAGAAATGTCAGATTTTCAAAGGAATCAAAAATAGCCAAATGATATTTTGACTCTGGTCTGTAATGTTTTAACTCTCTGTAATGCTTGAGATTTAGCCATTTGAGAAATAGAAAACGTTTTACTGAGTGAGGTAACACAGACCCAAAAAGAGGAATATGGTATGTACTCACTCATAAGTGGATTCTAGCTATAATTAAAGGACATTGAGCCTATAATTCGTGATCCTAGAGAAGTTAAATACGAAGGTGAAACAAAGAAAATAGTATAGTTATCCTCCTGGATATTGGAAGTAGACAAGATTGCCAGGCAAAACTTGGGTGCATGGGGGTGTGTGTGTGGGTGGATGTACGGGGAGATGGGTAGAGAGAAGGGAGAAAAGGAGGATTCGGGAGAGCTTGGGGGAATGGGATGGGTGGGATGGAGGAAGGGTGGATATGGGAGCAGGGAAGTAAATATCTTAATTAAGGCAGCCATTTTAGGGTTTGCAAGAGACTTGACTCAAGAGAGGTTCCCAGGTCCAAGGAGAAGTCCCCAGATTGTTCCTTGGGCAGCAGAGGAGAGGATGCCTGAACTGGCCTTGTCCCATAGCCACACTGATGAATATCTTGCATATCACCATAGAACCTTCATCTGGCGATGGATGGAGATAGAGACAGAAACCCACATTGGAGCACTGGACTTAGCTCCCAAGGTCCAAATGAGGAGCAGAAGGAGGGAGAACATGAGCAAGGAAGTCATGACCATGAGGGGTGTGTCTACCCACGGAGATGGAGGGACTGATCTAATGGGAGCTCACCAAGGCCAACTGGACTGGAAGTGATGGAGCATGTGATCAAACTGGACACTCTGAATGTGGCTGGCAATGAAGGCTGACTGAGAAGCCAAGGACAATGGCACTGGGTTTTGATTCCACTGCATGGACTGACTTTGTGGGAGCCTGGTTTGTTTAGATGCTCACCTTTATAGACCTGGATGGAGGGGGGAGGGCCTTAGACTTCCCATGCGGCAGGGAACACTGACTGCTCTTAGGACTAGAAAAGGAGGGAAGGGGAGGGGGAGAGGGGGAGAGAAAAGGGAGGTAGGGAGGAGGTGGAAATTTTTTGTAAATAAATAAATAAATAGAAAGAGATTTAGCCATTTGATCTCATAGAATCTTTAACACAAGGTTAGTTTCTCTCCTGTCTCCCTTTCCAACCTTCCCTACCCCTCCTCCCCTTTCCTGGAGATCCAGTGATTCCATTTATCTTTGGGATACTGACATGGAATTTGGGTTTAAACAGAGGAAGAACTGGGACAGGGGACAATATGAATGCATAATTAACAAGCAGTCCTGCTCAAGACGTGGTCCTGCCTGCGATCCTACTAGCTCCAGTTCCGCAGGGTAGTCTGAGGACATGTGCATTGCTTGAGCAGACAAGGTGTCTTAGGTGTCTTCAGGGCATGGTTACTTCTGCTCCAGGTTTTAGCCTTTTCATGGGTAACTGTTCTCATATCAGGGTAGAAGGAATCTCAGAGAACACCTCTAAATTTTGCTCCCAAAACCAACAACAGGGCTGCCTACTCTGGTCCCGGGTCAAGGCTAGGCTAATATTTTGAATGGAGGAGCTGTGTAGTCACATTCTCCCCCTGGCTCTTGTTTCCGTCTTTGGTTTTACTCCTCCTTCCTTAAAACATGTTTTCAGGATTGTTTGACTCCACTGTGCTGTCTGGGTGTGAGGTGCAGAACCTGTTGTTCTCTTGAGTGTGGCAGTTGAGGAGGTGCAAGGACAGCTCTCCTGCTCTCATGACCTCAGGATCAGCTCTCCCACCTGCCTCCGGTGTTGATGAGGGTGATTTCTCCTTTGCCATCACATGACAGATAAGATAGATGGGGAGAATCTCCCCTGCCATGTGACAGATGAATAACAGGGACAGCTCTCCCTGCTCACAACCTTGGGGTTGGCTTACCTACGCCTCTACCAATGGGGTTGGGGTGAGGTGGAGGAGGGCATCTCTTTCCTGTCCATGTTATCACAGGACAGATGAGTAATGGGGACAGCTCTTTCATGCTCACAGCTTTGGGGTTGGCTCACCTCCGCATTGGTCATTCGTCATGTGGCAGCATGAGCAGGGGAGAGATACCTTCCCTCACCCCCACTCTACCATCCATCAATTCCTCAGGCTGGTGGGAGAGCTGCCTCTGTCCCCCGCCACAGCTGCAACGCCTGGGAATGCAGGC